GTTTTTTTCAATTATATGTTATGTTGGGTTTTACTTGCATGTTCTGCTATAGCCAAATTTTCTGTTTTTTCATTTTATATACATCTCTTATGTTCGGCTATACGAGAATAAATAGAGATGAAGGTCCGGCAAATATCTGTCTAAGAAGGTGGTGAGACCTGTTCTGATATTTATACACAAATGCAAAATTACAGACAGGTCACGTGATTTTTAAGAAAATATAAAATGTGAAATTTATCTCTTGCAACTTCACTCCTGAGGATGACGTGTGACACGTTAAAACATGTAGAGTCATTATTTTGATATGATTTTAATTGTGTATTGATTTGAACATTGTACATTTATTATTTTAATTACAATACATGTTTAGAAAGCTCACCAACAAGATTACAGTCAAAGTAACTCACCGCTACAAAACTTTCAGAACAGTTTGAACTAAGTGGCATCTCAAAGTCTAAGAAAGATAATGCCATCAGATGAGCACCACCTGCTCGGAGGGTCCAAGTGCAATAACTATTTGTTGAATAGTTTTGGGGATAATTGGGTGAAAGAATAAGTCCAGTAGATGATGTATACGATCCACCACAGCCTAGAAAAATAAGCATGGCCATACACACACACATATTATTGCATCAGTCAAAAATCAAATTTATAACTCAGTAAATAAGCTAAAATACATCGTTTACAATTTTGAACCAATCACAATCTCCATGTAAAATAATTTAGCCTCTATATATGCCAACAAAAATTTTAAAACTTTTAAATAAAGTTACTTGAGTGCACTACTGTAGATAATAATGTACTATAGTACAGGCTGATTTTGTTTAAAGATTTACACCTGGATTATAGCTACAACAACTTATTTGTTCATGCAAAGAAAGAAAACAACTTTAATTCAAATCTAAATACATTGAGTATTTTTTTCTAATTTTTTATGTTCACCAACTACAGATTCCTTGTTTTGTTTATTTATATTTTTTAATTATAAGTTTTCAGCTGCACAGGGTTAGAATTATACGAAAATTAATTTTGTGACAACTGTTTTTAATCAACAATTAAAATGACAATTATTGAGAAAGTTAATACTGTATGAATCCAATTCTTCATTTCTAACATTATATAAAATTTCATCATTTGTATGTGCTCCCTCTCTTTCCCATAATTATGGGAAAGAGAGGGGGCACATACAAATGTGTTATGGGAAAGAGAGGGAGCACATACAAATGTGTTATGGGAAAGAGAGGGGGCACATACAAATGTATTATGGGAAAGAGAGGGAGCACATACAACTGTTTACATTTGTATGTGCCCCTCTCTTTCCCATAACACATTTGTATGTGCCCCCTCTCTTTCCCATAATACATTTATACGTGCCCCCTCTTTCCCATAATACATTTATACGTGCCCCCTCTTTC